CGGGGGGTGGGGGGGTCCCCGAGGAAGTGGCGGGGGGGGCTCCACCCCGGCCTCCGGCGCCAGGCGGAGTTGAAAAGCTACATGGCCAGAAAAAGCGCATTCCTAACGGGGTCCTGGTTGGTAACTTCATTTTGTAGCATTAGTGTTGTTGAAGAAACACAGGAGGTAGGTGAGCTGCTAGGTTTTGCTACACGGAACAAGTTCTGATTGTCAAGCAGTTTGTGCCATTAAGCACAGCATAAGAATATATCGCACTTAGGTTCGGGTTTACAACTTCTCTCCCTCAAGAAAGGGGCGGGGGGAGGAAAGAGCACTCGATACAAAATAATCAAATTAGAGCTATTCCATTTCTAAATTCTGCCCGAAGCCAATCCATGCTTTCTCTCCGTGTTATGAAATGTGTGGGGGTGAAGGAGAGGGAAAGAGCCAGCTAAGACATCTGACAGCAGGGAGAGAGAACAGAAGTTACCATGGCATGATGTAAATCAAATTAATTTAGCTCCAAACACACACCTCCCTGCTGTCTTGCAGAGATACAGAGGGACAAATTTATCTTTAGGCAAAATGCTCCCCAGCTGGTATTTCCATCACCACCTTGACCTTAATTAATCAGACTGAACGCTCACAGCCTGAAGTCCGGTGTTGACTGTTCATTTCCAATGGTTACAATTCTTTCCCATAACCTGTTTGAGGTTTGGGCTTGGGGTTTAGGTTTGGATTTGGGTTTGTTTTCTTTAGCTGTGGCCACTTCTTTTTATGTTCTATGCTTCTATTTTCCATACTTATACATGAGACTACCCCTGCAGTCCTATTCTCTCCCCTAACTACCCACAGCTTGGACAACAGAAACCAAATATGGAGTCCCCTTCCCCCACTCCCTGAATCTCAGGAATTTTCCACAAGGAGCCCTCCTCTCTAAAACCTCTGTAGCTTAAGAAAGAGCCAGTCTATTCTCCGTCACTGTACAAAGCACTTGGGCTATTTTTCTCCACATCTAACAACACAATGGAGTCCATTCCCTGGGCCACGCCAGTCTTCAGGCTCCTGAGTGTTTCATTATGACTGACTCTTGTTTTTTTTCTTAGATGTAGCCCTGGGGCTATTGCAGATGGGCTTTGTTTTAAGGAATCCAAGCAAGTAACATTTCCCTGACACAAATTTTTAGAGAAAATCTCACATTCTGTGACTATTTAAATAATCAGACTTGACCTATGTGTTGGATCAGAACCCTGTCTTGCAGAAGCTGTGAGACTTTGGACAAAGTACTTAACCTCTCTCAGCCTCCATTCTCTCCTGTGTAAATAGACCTATATATCTGGTAGGATTACAAAGATTGCATAAAATATTAAATGTTCAGTAACTTAAATAATGCCTGGCTCACAGAAGCTACTCAATTAATGGTATTTTTACCATTAAAGAAAATCCTGGATGTTATCATGAAAAATGAAATTTAAGCATTGATTCTAAAGTAGGTAAATGTAAGAGAGTATAAGGAGATTTATAAATATCTTACACATTGTCTGGCATCAGGAGTATCCAACAGTTGCAAGAAACAACGATTAAGGCTCACAGATCTACTTCATTAAGTTGTATAATTGTGTAAGGCTATTTTTTTAAAAAAATTTTTTTAACGTTTATTTATTTTTGAGACAGAGAGAGACAGAGCATGAACGGGGGAGGGGCAGAGAGAGAGGGAGACAGAATCGGAAGCAGGCTCCAGGCTCTGAGCCATCAGCCCAGAGCCCGACGCGGGGCTCAAACTCACGGACCGCGAGATCGTGACCCGGCCTGAAGTCGGACGCTTAACCGACTGAGCCACCCAGGCACCCCTGTGTAAGGCTATTTTTTTAATGTTTATTTATTTTGAGAGAGAGAGAGCACATGCACACGTGCACATGCGAGCAAGGAAGGGGCAGAGAGAGAGAGAGAGAGGGAAAGAATCCCAAGAAGGCTCCATGCTGTAAGTGCAGAGCCCGACACGGGAAACTCACCAACTGTGAGATCATGACCTGAGCCGAAATCAAGAGTCTGACACTTAACGAACTATGCCAGCCAGGTGCCCCAGTAAAGCTGTTTAAGACATGATGCACATTGTGCTTGATAAATCTGGATCACCAAAGTCTGGTGTAGACTTTGCTAGAAGTTTTATTTTCTATGCAACCAACACAGTGCTAGCTAAAGAGGTAATCTTTGGAATATTACAAAACCACTAGCTTAAGCCCTCTGCTCATCTGTTGAGTTACTCTCCAGGGGGGGAGGGGGACATGAGGAGGATCCTATATTATGAAAATGGGGATATTTAATAAGGCTCTGGACTGGGGTTGGGACGGGTTACACAGAACAGTGTAGCTCTTGAAGAAAATGGGCAAGATGACCTCATATTTTCCCTTATCTCATTTCTATGATTCTCTAATGTTTCCATTATGAGAAAAAATCCAAATAAAGTACAACATTTAAATGCCCTTTTCCCTCATCTTTTACAATGGTCCCTACATGTTTATTACTAATAAAAAGGAACTGTTTATATGTATGTAGCATCATTAATTTTCTAGGAAGAATTCCCCCATTTTTAACTTCTGCACATTTCCCTGTGTCGTGGATTTTAATGAATAGTGAAATAGGTTAGTTGGTAGGCGGCAGAGGAAAATCTAACTGATCACTGTCTTAGCTGACAAGCCATCTTTCATTCACGACATCTGCTTTTCTCATGGAGTTGAACCTGTCATGTTCCTTTCTGGATATGTTTCAAAAATGCAGATAATCATTAACCACGGAGTCATAGGTTGGTTACTTAAATGTGCAGGTCAGTAAACCATGAAAGCAGTTTTCATCAGATCACAAATCATATCCTTCCCGAGGTCTCAGCCAGCAAAATGAGTAAAACAGAACATTTTTGCCGCTAACCTCCCAGACACCATGCATTTAAATGAGTACACATGCTGTAAAGTGTAGTGGTTCTCAGTCCAGGGTAATTTTGCCTCCCCAAGGACATTTGGCGATTTCTGAAGACATTTTTGGGTGCTACAATGGGTGAGGATGAGGGGAAGATGCAAGGGGCATCTAATGAGCAGAGACCAGAGATGCTGCGAGATCTCATCCAGGGCAGAGGATAGCCTTCCACAGCAAGTAATTATCCAGCCCCAAATGTCAGTAGAGCTGAAGTTGAGAAGCCCTGTTGTAACAATAGATGTTCATATGGCAACTTTTAGTTACAGACTATTGGGAGAGAACACAGAAGCTGAAAGACAGGGATCCTCACCTCTACAAAGTGGTTATTTCCCTTTCACTACATGAAGTATCTTGCCTGAATTAAAGTAACCGGATTTGGAAAGGAATAGAACTAGAACGTCTGGCATCAACATCTTCCCCCACGCACCCCATCCCCACCGTCTTTTCTATATGTAATACATGTTCATTGAGAAAAAGATATCAACAGTCACGTACCACGATTCAGAGATAGCTGCCCTGTCAGACTTTTTCCTATGCACCTAGGTACATAGTTTACAAAAGTGAAATCACATTATACATATTTCTTAATAATCTGCTTTTGTATATGGTACAAATACTTACATATTAAACAATGTGATGTCTGGGATTTGGTTAGAAACAATCCAGTGAAAGAGGTGGGAGATAACGGGGTGTATAAATGAAGCAAGACTAACTTTGAGTCCATAATTGTTGCAGCTGGATGATGGGGTTTACAGATCTCTATTATTGAGCATGTTTGAAATTTTCCATGATAAAAATGTCCTTAAACAGTAAGCTATTAACCTATAGCATCATTTTTAATGGCCATATGTGCTAAAATGTAACCAGTCTTCCACTGTTGAATGATTAGATCATTTCCAAGCTTTAGTATTCTAAACAATGCTGTGATGGACATCTTTATAGCTACCTGTGATGGATCAGAGGTAGACTGAGAGAGAAAGAGGTCAAGGATGATTCCCAGGATTTTCCTGAGTAATTGGAAGAATGAAGCTGCTATTAACGGAGAAAG